GAAGAGCTCGCAGTCGTCGCCAAAGACGGCCTTGTTGCGCATCACTGTCCAGGGCGCCCAGGCGACCGAGGTGCCGGCGGGGACGCGGTAGCCGCAGATGACGTCGTCGACCTTGGACACTTTGGGCAGCAGGCCCGTCGCGGGCGGCCACATGCGCAGGCCCTCGCGGATGACGGCCTGCAGGTAGGGGAAATTGCGGGCTTCTGCGTCCGAGATGGGGCTGCTGATGCGGCCGGCGCGCACGCCCTCGTCGATCTCGCGCTGCAGGCGCGTGTAGACGTGCGGGTTGGTAATGATGTACAGCAGCGTCGACCGGATGGCCGTGGCGGACGTGTCGGAGCCGGCAATGATCTGCACGACGGCCTCGCCCTCGGCGTCGTCGCGGCCGAGGCCGTGCGCCACAAACGAGCCGAGAATGTCACGCTTGACGACGGCGTGGTCGCCGTAGCGCGCATCCACGGCCTCGCTCGCCAGCGTCATGACGGTGCCGATGCCGACCATGCCGCGGACGTTGGGCAAAAAGGGCCGCAGGTACGGCGACTGCAGCGTGTCGACGATCCACGGCAGGATGGCCGTCGACATGAGGATGGGAACAGTGCTCTCGGTGGTGCGGATGTAGCCAAACTTGTCAAAGTCGGCGTCCAGGTACCCAAACGACTCGCCAAAGGCTAGCACCGAGATGACGTCGAGCGTAAAGAACTGCACCTTGCGCGCGAGGTCCACCGTTTTGTAAATGCCCTTGCCGCCCGTGTTCTTGGTCTTGTCGCTGGTTCCGCTCTCGCCCTCGCCCTCGCCCTCGCCCTCCACCGAGAGATACTTGTCCTCGAGCAGCTTCACAAACCCGGCCACTTGCGCGTCAATGTTTTCGTGCAGGTTGTCCACATCCTTGCCGCCGTACCCGGGCAGCAGCTTCGACCGCAGCTCGTCGTGCACGGCGTCGTCGAGCGTCGAAAACGTGCTGTCGCGGTAGGGGTCCACCCGCAGCCCGCGGTACCAGTACGCCCGCTTGTAGTTGGACCGCACGCCCCAGATGCGCCGCAGTTCGTCTGGGTCGCCGCACACCACCCAGTTGCGGCCGATGCGCGCCAGGTTGCCGTACTTTTCATTGACCGACTGCAGCGTAAAGTTGAGCTGCCCGCTGAGCTGGCCGCGCACGAGCCACAGGTCTGTCCAGGCGGCCCACCGCGGGCCCGGAATGTGACGGAGGTGGAGGTAGCTGCGGATGCTACTGGCGACGTAGTAGACGAGGGCGACGACGGCCGCGATCCCCGCGGCGGGCAACAGCCAGGCCATGAGGAGAGGTGGGGGTCGTGGGGAACGGCTGGGAGGGGGGAGACAGGAATTAACAAAAAAAATAGAAGAAAAAAAATCAATGAAGCGGGATATTGAACAGGATGGCCAGAGACGGTAGGTTACGACGTAGTGTCGTATGATGGTCAATGCAAACCGGCTGACAGAGGCTGAAAACAAGCAAGAGAGTGGAATAAGTAGGGACCTGGAATGACTGCCGATTCCCGTTTCTGTTGAGTTCAAACAACAAAAAAGTGACGAAAGAGGGCAAATCTGACAGCCGGAGAAGGTAGAATAAGAACCTAGCAGCGTTCCTTGGAAGTTGAGGCACGGCCAATGTCTGAGTTGTAATTCTGGTTTGGGGACACCGGTGGAGGATGCACCTGATAAGTCAGTTTTTGGGACTGGTCATCAAGGATGGAATTAAAACAGTCATGACAAAGAGTGTACGGAGTACACAAACGGTAAATTGGAGGACGTAAACAACAGAGAATACAGAGAAAACAGTGAACAGAAGCAGAGTACGTAAAGAAACCCGGGAAGACGGAAAGTGGAAACGTCATTAAGACAGTTTTCTGGTGTCCCTGTAACGTAACCCGCCGTAGCGGTAAGTTGCTGTGTTTGCAATGAAAATACGGAATAACCGACAAGATAAAACAACACCCGTAAAGTGCCACTTTCACCGCCGTGTGACAGACGTGGCTTGCCTTTTGTACTTTTCTGAGTATCTGTAAGTTGTGTTCCTGTCTGTTGTACGCAACACTCTGTGCTGCTGTCGTCTGGGTCTTGTCTCTCGGTTTGTCGGGTAGGAAAGGGCTGGGATTCTGATGGCACACAGAGACAATTTGTTTTACCAGGTTTGTTTTGCTGTGATCGACAAATAACAAATATTACACGTCGTTTTTGAGACGAGGGGCACTGGAGGCTGGACGATGGCGAGAAAACAAGACGAGAGAGTAGGCAAAAACGAAAAAGAGAAAGAGGAGAAAAGGAAGAGGAAGAAAAGGGGCCAAAGGAGGGGGTGCGTTGTGAAGAAGACGAAGGAGAGGGGCGAGGGCAAAATGACGAGCGAGAGTTGATAGAAATGGCGTCGAGAGGATCAAATAAAGGAGAGGAAGGACAAGAAACAAAGAGACTGGTGGGGGGGGGAATGGAGCACAAATAGACTGTCAAAGGCTGACACCAGTGCACCGGGCACGCCAGAACGGAATACGACTCTACGCCTGGCCCAAGTCCCCCTCCCTTGGACCACGGAGCCGAAAAAAAAAGAAGACAAACGGGAGGAAAGAGCCAAACAGATGGTGGAGAAGGTTTGTGGCAGGAAGCGCGCAAGATACCGTGCAGCGGAGAAGAGAAAAGGACAGTGGGCAAAGAAAGGACCTCGGATTTTGCACGCAAAAGTGGAAACAAGCAGAAAATGTGACAGCAAGCAATTCTCAGGAAGGGAGAGCAGGGGGGGAGGAGACGGGTGGGAAATAGATTGGGGCAGCTTGAAAACGAGAGAGTTCCAGTTGTCTGGTTTGACTTGTTGCACAAAAAGTTGTTCTGGAAGGGCGGACGGGCGTGCAGACGACTGCTTTTTTGAAGTATCGGCTGACAGACAACAAGACAAAATATAGATGAGGTGAAGGGGATGAGCAGACAGCACAACTTCAGCTGGTATTCGCAGCAATTTTTCGTTGATAATTCCCCCTTTCCTCTGTTGTAGCAAAACTCAGCTGCTGGGAGTCGGCTTATTTCCTTTCTTTATTTTATTAAAAATATTGCGTTTCAAGCCACTCAAACCGCTCGTTAGGGTCAGGGTGCACGAGAACCGCGCTTGTTGTATACTTTGTTTCCATTGTTTGGGACAGGGTTGCACAAACGACACACCCTCCACCCCTCTGACAACGCACTCAGACCTACCAGAATACCGAGCACAAAGAAACTAAGAAAACAATGGGCACTGCGGATGTGCCGCCCCAACATAGCAGTCAATCGATCAGTGTGATTCGACAGACAATAGGAATACGACACTTTCATACGCAGAATGAAAACTAGGATAGAGCTTGACATAAAGCCGCATCTGATATACGAAAATCATGTCTACCTACAAGTTCGTTTATGCGAAGTGAAAACGTGAGAACATTCTTTCAGGGCATATAACATGCCCCAAGCACGAAGCGTAAGTGCCGTATAGTTGGAAACAATCGTGATAGAAAGCCATATATGTGCGTCGGAAGGATCGCATTGTGGGAGAAAATGGTGCTGCGGATACTGTAGTGTAGGGCAACGGCCCGAGAGAGACCAGACGCGGGAAGAGAAGAGCGAGCGGCGGAACTAGCTTGGGTACGTCGGAAGGATTGAGAACAAAGAAAGAAGAAAAGAAGGAAGACGGAGGAAAGGAGGGCGGAAAGGAAACAAAGAAATAGGACGAGGGGCTGAAAAGATTGAAGGGAACAATCGCAGCAATTGGACAGGAAAGGAAGAAAATGCAAGGAACCTCACACAGAGTGTTGAAAATGGCAAGGACGTGTCTGCTGTTGTATTTATCTTTCCAAAAGAAGAAAAGACGGTTATTGAGGCGAGAGCTGGGCTTGCAAATACAGCGTTGCACGGGCGAGTAGGGTTGTAATATACGTCGGCCAGGTCACTTACCTGAACGCGTAGTTGTGCGTACGCAAGTGGCAGACAGGTAGGATAAAGTAGAAGCGAACTCGTCACGATACTACCTCGTACCCCCACTGTACTTACTTCGTACTTGTTCTTGTCCAAAAGTGGGATAATCTGCGGGTGATGAGCGAGAGGATGTGCAGAGTCGGTGGGGAAAGACGACGGGACTGGTCGAGGCAAAGCTCTGGGCACAGAACGAGAAGAGAAAGAAGGCAGGAAAGAAACTCGAAATATGAATCACAACTACCGAAAAGTAAAGAAAAAAATAGAAGAGAGAAGGCCGCATCCGATGCAATATATAACGTCGGTGATGAGTTTTCAAAACGAGTTTATATCACACATGAACGAGGCGACGTCGGATGCAGGACGCTGGCTATTGGTGCTGGTTTGCCGTTGGCCATTGGCAGGAAACGAAATTCCTCAGTGGTGCACAGGCGACAAAAATAGAGGAAACGTGTATGCCGCAGTCGTTCTCCGTACCATGCACATGCTACGTACCTCCGTATGTTCGAAGACGAGCAAAACGCGCCAGTCGCAAAAGAAAACTACGTCGTAACGTTTGTGCAGAAAGTCAAAAATGCAAAAAGTGCAAAACTGCCTCACAAAAGAGGTTGCTAAAACGAGCAGACTAGGAAAAAGAAAGCAAAAGCGGCCGGGAGTCGTCACTTTCAGACAAATGCTGCCTGCCGGGCGAGAAACACCTGCCATTGCTGTACGGGTGCCCAATACGGAAGCTATGAGACATACTGGAGAATCCTAAAGATGGCGTTCATTGGCTCGGAAGAGAGCCTGCGCCGTGGTGGTGCTTGCAGCCAACAAGTCGAAAATACTAAACAGGAATGGCAGGCAAGGTTGTATCTCGACAGTGGATGCTTTGTCTGGAAGGTGTGGCCGGAGGAGAAGACGGCAGGAAACGGATGTCAATGCCAGCGCCAACGCGAAATGTGACAGGCCGCCCCCCAAAGCTGGTGCAAAAGACGAAAAGGCGGCGGTTTGGTGGCAGCTGTTAGAAAGCGGCCGCCCTCTCTCTCGGACACGATTTGCAAGCAAATGAGATGATGCACGAGGAAAAGCAGGGCATGAAGCGAGCGAATAAGGTGAGAGCTGGAGCCGAGGAGGGTGCAGAGCCAAGAGCACAGGCGAATGAGGCAAGGGGACGTGGTGAGGAGACAGGAAAAAGAAAAGAAAGGTTAGACAAAAGAGCATGGCCAGCCCTGTCCATTTCAGTAGCTCTTTCAGCTCAACCAACGGGACCAGTAGGCGCTCGTATTCTGGCACCCTGTTTTGTGATCCTGATGTGGTAATACTCCGTGCGGCGTTCATACGAAGTACAGATGGACGACCTTATGTTCTCGAACCAGCAGGCAAAAAACGGAAACCAGCCGACCGAGCCTACATGCTCGTAAAACAGCAGCGGCCAAAAAACCCTCCGTTGCCGTCCCCGTACCCAAACTGACTGCTCCGGTATGGCACATGGGGGCCGTTCCGCATGGTGAAGCAATCGGCGTCATTTCTGGTCGCTGTCACAGTTCCACTTGAAATGCACACTTCTTCTGGCGTTGTGGTGATGCCACGGTGAAGGTCATGTGGTCTCGACTGATCTGCTTTGTTGATACGATTCTATTCTTGTCGTTGTTTTGTTGACTTGGCTAATTTTGAGTTCGTATATGGTCGTTGTCGGTAAAATTTGTTCTCTCGTCGTTTCTTATTTTTTCCCTTCTCCTCCTCTTCTCGTACCCTCTTCCTCTAAATATTTCAGCTCGCCGAACTCTGCCAGCTGGTGCAACCCCGGACAACCGCCAGAACAAAAGTGCAAAGGGGCGAGAAAGTGATGTGTCACAAGAAAATGAAGCGGTAAAACCGAAAACTGAAGAAGTCAGCCTCCCCACATAGCAAGACTCCTCCCAACTGCGGGATGTGCTCCCTGCTCCTTGCTCCCACGCTCCCACGCTCCCATTTTACAACTGCTGTCACTACGCGTAAACAGTTTCCTGATGCCACAGTCTTTACGACGCACATTCTTCACGCTATTTCCGTCAACTCACCCCATTTTCCTTTTTTCAGTTTCCACGCTCCTCCGGACAGGACAGTCTTCCACTTTTTGCCGGCCGCGTATCACCTTCCGTGTTCCGCGCTGCAGTGTGCATCCGCAGTCTGTTTGCGTCTTGCGGTTGTCACGGTCGTTGCCCCCTGTTGCCCCGTCTCGGCCGTTCCATTCTGGCGATTATGGCGGCATCATTTAGTCGTCGACGTTTCGTTTCTGTTGTCTAAAACTACATCTCCATCGACATCCTCCTGGTCGCACCGCTTTCTCTCGTCCTGTGCCTCTCCAACTCCTCCAATGGTCGTTCGCGCCCACTTTGTCATCGTCGCACGCACTCTATTCCTCCGACTCCCTGGGTCGCTCTTGTCCTACGTTTCCTCTTCTTCTTGCCTGTTTCCCTCTGTTCGTCTCTCTGTTCCTTAACTCTCCCATCGTTCTCACTCTCTCAATCAATCCGGCTTCCGATCTTTCTTTCTCTCTCTCTCTCTTTTATCTCCTCGCGCGCCCTGTCTTCCCGGTCCGTATTCTCTTATTATCTTTCCCTCCTCCCACTCCTTTTTCTTGTTTCCTGCCACTTCCCCCGTATCTTTCTTCTCCGGTTCTTGATTTTCTCTACAGCGTATTACTCTGTATAAATCCACGGTGTGATACCCCCGTGCACTTTCTTTTATTTTCGGTCGGCCATCCTACATCTCGCTTAAGCACCTCTTCCCTTCCACTCTAACCCCCTTTCTTGGTGTTCCCGTCGCTTCAAATTTCGGAACAGGTTTTGGACGACTTTGTGGTTCTATCTGCGTTTTCTTTTTCTCGGCGGGATAGAACAAAACCAAGCCAAAAGAAACCAGAAGAGTTCGATTCAATTCAATTCAGCCAGCAAGAGCGTACACCAATCCTGATTGCTCCGTCCCCATGGCCTCTCCGCCGCCGGCCGGCGCGGTGCCTCCCATCTTCGACGACGATACTGTCGCTGCTAACGTCCACCCAGACGACCACGACGATCCTATTGTGGGTGTGCATTCTCTCTGTCTCTCTCTCTCTCTCTCTGTCTGTCTCTATTGCAAGCGAAGCGATAAGACCAACAACCCTCTACGAAAATGGGCCCAGCAGGCGGTCGGGGCGAAATGGTCGAAATGGGCGGTCGTGCAGAGCAAGCAAAAGGATCCGCTTCTTTTCATCGCTTCTGGCGCACTGCCGCTCGCTTACCGGTACCATTTCTCGGTGTGTCCCTCTGTCGCTTCGGTGTCTCCTTTTTCGCTTTTCGCGTTCGCCGACGACTCTGTTTGCTGGCCGGCTGCTCGCGTTTACGAGTTGCCCACTTCCATAGCCACCGCCTTTTTTTTTTTTGCTGCTGTCTGTCGCCTCGCTTAGCTGTTGTTGAACATTAACGGAACTAATCTGTGACATCTCCCTCTCAGGTGGCGGACATTGACGAGGACAGCGACTCTGCAATCGATGTGGTATGTCTTGTTATTTCCTTGCCTCCTTTCCTGTCTACTTCTGCTTCAGCACCAATTTAGCGTGAAGGGCCGGTCCGTAGTGGCCACGAATTAGCGCCCCGCCGCTGTCAGACATACATTCAGTGCCCACGCTCCACTATCCACCATCTCCGCCAAGGGACCAAGCGATCATCGAGCTTTCCACTAACATCACCGCCACCAGCCATTCCGCGAATCTCTGACCTCTCTCCGGTCCAGTATCCTGGCCTATCAGCAAGAAAATGGCCGTACCTACCACGCCATGAGTGCAGGAAGTAGGTATTATCTCCTAAACAGTACAACTGGACAATCATTGAGAAGAGCATCATCACTAACTGTCCGGAGAATATTTCCTTCCAAATGACGAGGTAGGCGCGAGTTGTCATTAGATATTTGTCCTTCTGAAGTGACTTGTTCTCGAACAAAGAAGCCTCTGAAATTGTTTGAGCAATTGGCACAGGCAGAGACATAAAAAGCAGCAAACACAACTACGAGAATCGTTCGAAACTAGTGCTGACAACAGTTCACCCACTCCAGGCCGAAATCGAACGTCTGGGTAAGGTTTCTTTCTAATACTTGCTACAAGATGTCATCCACTTTCCGCTGCTAACAATAATAGATCTTCAACACCATGTTCTCACACTCACAATCGAGGGCAACCACTGCCTGTGTCCTAAGAACACGGGTGCTCGGCGTGTCCTAGATTTGGGCACCGGCACTGGCATTTGGGCCATGGAATACGGTACGTCCTGCCGTCTCGGAAAGCGGAAATTGCTAAATCATGGCTTCCAAGAATCGTGAGCCGTACTAACCCGTACAGCCGATGCTCACCCCGACGCCGAAGTCATTGGTGTGGACTTGAGTCCAGTGCAGCCAGAATTGTAAATCAGGACGCACCTTCCTGTCATCGTCCCTCAAGATAATACACAGCTAATCATCATGCAGCGTTCCGCCAAACTGCTACTTTGAAATCGACGATCTCGAGAGGGAATGGACCTGGGACCGTCCCTTTGACTTTATCTTTGCCCGCATGATGGCCGGCTCCTTTACGGACAACGGCGCCGTCGTGCAAAAGGCCTACGAACACCTCGAGCCGGGCGGCTACTACGAGGCCCAGGACATGGCCCTACCCCTCGGCTGCGACGACGGCACCCTTAAAAAGGACTCGGACCTCTGGATCTGGATGGGGCTCGTCATCGAGTCCATGGAGAAGCTCGGCCGCCCCGTGGTCTCCGCCCAGCAGTGGAAGCCCCTCATGGAGCAGTGCGGCTTCGAGGACGTCACCCAGACCATATACAAGTGGCCCATCAACCGCTGGCCGCGCGACAAGAAGTACAAGGACCTGGGCATGTGGAGCCTCGCCAACATGGACTCGGCCCTCGAGCCCAGCTCGCTCGCGCCGCTGACTCGTGCTCTCGGCTGGTCCCGCGAAGAGGTTCTTGTTCTTGTCAGCAAGGCCCGGAAAGTCCTGCGCGACACCAGCGTCCACGCCTACTGGCCAATGTACGTTCCTTTTGTGGTCCTCGCTGCGCTCGCTTTCTTTCTGTCCTCGCTGCGCTCGCTCTCCTCCACTCACTCTCGCTAACATTCTAGCTATGTTGTCTACGGCCGCAAACCGCTCAACGCGCCTGCCGCTCAGCCCACCGACGCCACCGTATCGCTCCCCGAGGCCAGCTCACCGCAACCGGAGCCCGAAGCCCTCCCCGCCTCCCTGCCCGCTAAGACGCTTGCATCTGCGCCAGTACCTGCACCAGCACCTGTGGCTGCACCAGTCGTCCAGTCTGCTGCCGCACCGGCTGCTATAGAGGCACCAGCCGCAGACGTGGTAGAAGCTGCACAAGTCGCAGAAGCGGTAGCACCAGCAGCAGCACTAGCACAAGCACCCGAAGCTGCAACTGCAACTGCAACTGCAACCGCTACGGCGACAGCTGCAGAACCCTCAGGCACTCCTGCAAAAGAGGAAGACGAAGCCGCACCCGCACCACAAGCAACATCATAATCCACCTAGCGGAGACTGTTCCGCCAGGCAGTCAGGTGAGAGGGATATATTTTGTGCGTGCGCTGTTGGCCATGCAGTCTGAAGGTTAGGGGTTGGGTAATGAATAAACATATGGGCCATGCCATGCAGACCCAACGAGGATAGAAATGGGCGTCCTGGATTCTGGTATCGCAATATACGTCGCTTACTTTACTTGCCGTCGATTCATTCTGCAGATACCAACTACGTATGCTGTGTTTTGTATATCGTATTTCGTACGTAAATTACACATTGTGTAATCCACTCAATACAAGGACACTTTAATATGCGTCAGTCGCTGCCGAAGCTGCCACGGCAGGCGTATTCCTCGCAATTACTTCCCCCTCTCGCCCTCCGGAATTGGTGACGCAAGATCAATCAGCCGTCACGAATCTTGCCGGTGGGCACCTTCCTGTGCGGGCAGGCGCTGTGGGAAAGTGGATACCTCTTTGCACTCCAGCGATAACAGTTTGATACTCCGCAGCTATCAGCCAGTGAGCTTCCCAACCTGCGACCCCTAGAGGTTTAAGCGGGATTGGCGGTTTTAGCGTCCGCCCCCTCCCACACCCGCCCACACGACCCAGCTACGGCACGCAATTCCCCCAATCCGGGCGTTGCTCTGGTGCCGTGCCTGGCAGAAAACAGGGGCCAGCAGGTGCTGACAGGCCAAAGATAAAGCTCCTTCTGCCGCCCCGTCTCACCTCCGCTTTCGCTTCTTTCCGCAATCTCTCTCAGCCTTCCTCCCAACCAAACAATTCTCCTATGATCAACCTCTCCCGCCCGACTTAGACCTTCAAGCATTCCTACACTCTCGCCACCCTTGCACATCCACAACGATGGCCCGCCGCGAAGCTCCGACCGAAATACCGCTGCGCTACAACACGCTGCGCCAAGCGACATCACACCGCGAGCGGCTCAACCAACGCTTTGCCTCGGGCTCGTATTCTACCTTGAACGCGGCTATGGCGTCGCCATCTGTTGCCTCGTCGTCGCCCTCTGTTTCTTCGTCGTCCGCTTCCTCGACACCCGCCTCCTCCCCGCCACTCGCTGCCGCCACGCCTGCCACCCGCTCGATCGAGTCGCAGTGCTATATCCAGAGCGGCATGGCCGACCGCACCCCCGCCGAGAACACCATTTGCGTTTCCTGCGCCCGCAGTCTGCACGACGTCGACGTCAGCACCTGCCGTGTAACACAGAACAGCGAGACGCACTGTGTGATTTGCGCGTGGAAGCGCGGCGACGCTGCCACCTTCACCAAGCCGTTCTTGCGTTTCATCACCGAGAACCCGACCGTCTTCCACGCCGTGGGCTACTTTGAAAAGCAGCTGGCCGACGCTGGCTTCGTCAAACTGTCCGCGCGCGACGACTGGTCCGGCACGATCCAGCCGGGCGGTAAATACTATGTGACGCGCAACGGCAGCTCGCTGATTGCCTTTACCGTCGGTGGCGCCTATGTGCCTGGCAACGGCGTCGCCATTGTGGCGGGCCACATTGACGCGCTGACGGCGCGGCTCAAGCCGGTGAGCAGCAAGCCGACCAAGGTCGGGTACCAGCAGCTGGGCGTGGCGCCGTATGCGGGTGCGCTCAACGCGACGTGGTGGGACCGCGACCTGGCCATTGGCGGCCGCGTGGTGGTGCGCGACCCGTCCACGGCCAAGGTCAGCACGCGGCTGGTCAAGCTGGGGTGGCCGATTGCCAAGATTGCGACGCTGGCGCCGCATTTCGGCGTGTCCATGACGGGCAGCGGCAACAAGGAGACGCAGATGGTGCCGATTATCGGGCTGGACGACACGGATGGCGCTGGCGGCACTGGCGAGGCGATTGCGGGCGCCAACGCTTTTGTGGCGCAGCAGCCGCCCAAGCTGGTCAAGCTGATTGCGGCCGAGCTGGACATCGATGACTACAGCCTGATCCTGAACTGGGAGCTGGAGCTGTACGACCACCAGCCGGCGACGGTGCTGGGCGTGGACCGTGACCTGATCTCGGCGGGCCGCATCGACGACAAGATCTGCTCGTGGGCGGCGCTGGTGGCGCTGCTGCGCGCCCAGGACAACGACGACGCGGGCGTCATCCGCCTGGCGGCCTTCTTTGACGACGAGGAGATTGGCAGCCTGCTGCGCCAGGGCGCCTGGGGCAACTTCTTGCCGGTGACGATTGAGCGGGCCGTCGAGTCGCTGGCCGCGAACAAGAACGCGGGCAGTGGCGCGGCGGCGGCACTGGGCCCCGGCCTCGTCGCGCGCACCTATGCCGCCTCCTTCCTCGTGTCCGCCGACGTCACCCACGCTGTGCACCCCAACTTTGTCGGCAACTACCTCGACGACCACCAGCCGCGGCTCAACGTCGGCATCACCGTCGCCTACGACTCCAACGGCCACATGACCACCGACAGCGTCTCCACGGCCATCCTCACCCGCGTCGCCGAGCTCAGCGGCAACACGCTCCAGCGCTTCATGATCCGCAACGACTCCCGCAGCGGCGGCACCATTGGCCCCGAGCTGAGCAGCATGATCGGTGTGCGCAGCATCGACGCCGGCATCCCGCAGCTCAGCATGCACAGCATCCGCGCGACAACGGGCGCGCTGGACCCGGGCCTGGGTGTGAAGCTGTTCCAGAGCTTCTTTGAGCTCTACGAGAAGGTGGACGCCGAGTGGCAGGAGTAGGCGGCGAGGGGCAGCAAAGGAAAGAATTGGCAAAGAGTGCCATGTGAGAGCCTGTACATAGTGTAGCGTATGGGGTGATGATGTGAAGAACTAGCTTAGAACAGGGTCATTCCCTAATATATTCGTCTTACAGCTTTAAGGAGACGTGCGAAAGCATGTTACCGGCCCCAGCCCTTTAGTGTTGTGACTGCACCTTACCTGGGGTCCGCTAGTACTTTTGCGGGGATCACGGTGTAAGAGACAAGCGAGAAGAAAGACACTTCGTGTGAAGTGTTGTTGAGTCGTATCGTGTGGATGTTGACTTCCGTTAAAAACACTGTTTCTATTTACGTTTTTTTTGGTTCTTCCCGCTTCCTCCCGTCTTTGTTGCCTGCGCCACACAAAGTCCAGCTATTGTGTGCGCTCAGACGATCTGGGCTCCCTTTGCTCCTTCCCAGTTAGTGCCGACCTTTGTTTGACGTCAGATCGCGGCAGGAGCGCTTCTGCGGCTCTCCTTTGTTCCTTCCCGTCGCGTTCCACGGACGTTGTGAGGACTACTCGCTTTGTCTTGCCACTTTCATTGCGCATCATATCCAAACCATCATCACCACTTCCATGGACTGAATCAACCTCTCCCGTCTCTCCCGCCAATCGCTCTCCTGGCCCACAATGAAGTTCTTCGCTTTCGCATCTGCCGCGACGGCGTTTGTCATCCCCGACGCCAGCATCGTTAGCCAGCTGGTCCTGGCCGGCAACAAGGCATCGTCTGCCGTAGAGACATTCCATAATGCCGTCGACGCCGTCGCGTCTGGTGTCGATGCGGTCGGCGATTGGCTGCGGGGCGGCATTGTCGACCAAAGCAAGACGTCCAATCTGACGCTCTACCAGCTGATTGCAAACTCCAATATCACCAGCAACTTCACGGCCCTCGTCAACGAGTTTCCCGATGTTGTGGCCGTCCTAAACGCGACGTCTACTGCCAATAGCCTCAACCACTCCCTTTTCGTGCCGGTCGACACGGCTTTTGCAGCGCTCCCTGGCGGCGGCCTCGCGGAATACTTGCCCACTGGTGACCGCGCGGCCATAGTTCACTACCACATCGGCCTCGGTGGCTACCGCGACAATGCATTGTTCACCACGAATACGCTGCCCACCCTCCACCATGAGTCTCTGTTGGGCGGCGCACCCCAGCGCCTGCGCGTGCGCTTCGAGAACCAAATTGGCGTGCTCGTCAACTTTGCCGCGCGCATCATCGCTCCCAACATTGTGGCGACCAACGGCGTCCTTCATGGGCTCGACGCCGTGCTCGTGCCGCCCTCGTTTGTCGGCCGGCAGCTGTCGCTGGTGCCCGACCACTACAGCACGCTGCTGCATGCCATGCAGGCGAGCAACTTCACGCAGTACATCCACGGCCTGACCAACCTCAACGGCTCCACGGTGCTGGCGCCATCCAACGAGGCCTTCCGACGGCTGGGCCCCCAGCTGAACGGGTTTTTGTTCCACACCCCCCGTGGCCTCAAGTACCTGTACGCGCTGCTGCGCTACCAGACGGTACCCAATGCGACGGTCTACTCGGACGCCTTTTATGGGTCGCCGGCGCTGGTCCCGCCTGTGCCTGCTTCTGCGGTCGGTGCGGACGGTACCCACGGCCCCGTCGAGCGCATCCACTACCAGCTGCCGACGCTTCTCGGCAATGCCACGCTATCCATCGACATCATGTCCGTCCCCGGCTCTTCAGTCATGGTCGTCAACAACAATGCTCGCGTCTCCGTCCAGGATGGCGTAGCCAAGAACGGCGTCATCCAGGAGCTCGAGCGTGTTGTCTTCCCGCCGTCACCTTCCGGCATCCGCGGCAACCCGTCAGTTGACCCGCCAGTGAAGACAGTGGCCGATGTAGTGGCACGGTTGGGCCCATACGTGGATGACGATGGTGACAGCAGCGATCCGACCGCGGAGCTGTAATGGGGCCCTGTAACATATGTGCGTGTAATCAAATACAAATTGAAAGAAACTGGGGGGGGGGGGGGGGGGCGTTAGTTTATGGTTCTAGGAAACCAACAAAAGCGGTCTGGTCTTCGCTTATTTGGGTATTAATTTGACATCATTTGTTCATTTGTTCTCATTATCTCGTTGTTATATTTATGACCGCCATCAGCCAAACGTACTCCACACGTCATGCATAAATGACAACGCAAGTGTATTGGCTTTGGCATCGCCCACCGGCACCAACTGAGTAGCAAAGAAGGCTGCACGCTTCTTCTCACGGTTGACAGCCCACAGCACGTTGGGCATGCCTTCCCAAGTGACCGTGCCTGGTGGCATCGACGAGACAGGTAACGCCTCGTCCCCGACAACCAACCCTCCGGCGCTCCAGTTTACGGCCGGCGCTGCGCTCTCGTGCCCAGATGCCTTTCCCGTAACAAAGCCATAATTGTCAGACTCGTTACGCAACTCCGACAGGGAAGCACTTCCAACCGGAAGCTGTCCCGTCAGTAACAGATCGTAGTGCTCCTTCGTGTTGAGGAGCACCGGCGACGACGCCAAAACCGCACTCAACAGAGTCCCTACGTCCGACATGCTGCACGTCAGGCCCTGCGAGAAGTCGTCTGCCTCCGCCAGGATGGACATGCCGTCGGTGTCCGTCTTTCGCTCCACCATCCTCAGCCGCCGCTGCCACACATCGAAAACCTGCCGGGGCGCATACGACGACGATGCCATGCCCAGCGGGTCAAAAATGCTCGCTTGCACATGCGCCAGAAACGAGGCCGACCGTGACACGCGCGTCACCAAAAGCTGCGTCCAGTGGATACTGTAGCCGTACGCAAAGCCCTCGCCGGGGTGGAACAGCAGCGGGATCGCGAACCGCTGGGCGATGGCATGGGCCGAGTCGTTGACGAGGCCGGCCATGACCTGGTCGGCTGTACCTGCGCCAAACCGCTTGTCAACCGTTTCATGGTCCGTCAGGCCGCTGGTGTGCAGTAGCAGGTGGCGCAGCGTGACGGGACGGCACGGCGCTCGCATCTGCGGTGTCGGTGTCTGTCCATCATTGTCCATCCCTGCAAGGACATTGCACGCCCGCAGCTCGGGCAGGTGGTCATACACTGGCGCATCGAGTGCTAACAGCCCACGCTCCACAAGCTGCAACGCCGCAATGTGCGTAACGATCTTGCCGGCCGAGCCGAGCGTCACGGTGCTGTCGGCATCGAGCAGAGGTGCGTCGTCGTTGACGCTGTCGCAGAGCCACTGGCGGCCGGCCGCGTGGCGATATAGAACTTGGCCCTTGTCGTCGACCACCATCGCCAAGGCCCCGAGAAGGTCGCGTGCTGGTACTGCAGCGTCCGTGGCCTGGGCTAGCCGGCTCTCAAAGTTGTCCATGGCGATGCTAAACGATAAAGAACGATTAAGGCGACCGAGTGTTGTTGGCCCTCGTAGCTAGTTGCTTACTTTTGTGCCGTCAGCAATACGCCAGCGCTACTGTCGGCGTCAACAGCCGACAAATTAACTAGCCAGACTACTCTTAAGACAACAGAACAATAACAAAAACCAAAAAGGCAATATATCACTTAAACAGTGACGTCGTCCCGCTATTGCGTCAGCCCTCTCGTATCGCATTAATAGATACGGGGAGATAAGGAGACACGAATCTCTGAAACGCGTACACGTACGGAGTATTACTGGGCATTCTGGCTAATCTACATTGCCTGTGCTGGTTTAAGCAGGTCAGAAACGAGGGGCAGACCTGCCATGATCTCTCCTGTGAGATACCTCAAAGCCGCAACCTTCTGTTTCTGCCCGATGCGGGATCCTGCTGCTATTTACAGCATCCTGGACATTCCACGTGTAAACCATTGCGACTGAATGTCTGCGCCATATTACAGGCGACCAGAGCCTATCGTCTATCCCCATCCATAGCCAAATTAACGTGAAACATCGTCTAGGCTGGCATACGTCTCCTTTCTTATGCATCGAAACCTGGAGTAGGTTCATCCTCACTCATCATGAGACTGATCAAACCTCCAGACAGAGAATAAAGCATAAAGCGTAGTAGTAATAATAAAAAAAAATTTACCCAAAATCATCCCGAATATTTTATTCACGTAATACTTCCTGCGCCCAAGAGACTCGCCGTTGCTATTGTCTGCTGTCGGCCGTCGTTGTTGTTGTTGTTGCGTTGCATTGCCGGTAATAGGCAACTAAATTGTCCGCAGCCTACCAGCCTACAACGTATTACAGCGGTGCCTTTGGGCGGAGAGGCCCGCTGCAAGGTCCAGTTGCTCCTGCATCCCCCGCCAGCGCCCGCGCCTGATTGGCCCGCCCTAGCGTGCACGGTTGCCCGTGGTAGCAAGCACTGCCCAATCAGGATTAGCGCTATGCCAGCACAAGGAGAGGGCAGCGGGCCAAACGGGCGTGCACAAGCAAAACGGACCAAAACAGAAGGCGGATGTCGCTCGAACGGGGGGGCTCCTTCCCTCTCAACATCGACAACGAACGACCGACAACCACGACGACGACGACGACGCCTGCCGCCCGCCAATCCTCGACAACGGGCAGTATTCTCGCCGCACCGCCAACAAGTTTCTCGACAACTTGCGACGAGCGACAAACGACAAACGACACACACGACGGGCCCACGACTATACGACCGACGACAGACGATCTGACGACAACGCAGTCAACAAAGACGACAACAAACAACGACAACAAACAACGACAACATCGTCGACAACAGGACAGGCAACAATATCCAGTTTCGACGACTACAGCTTCAAGAACAGCAAGAAAAACATCACGCACAACTGACGCGGTGTCTATCGGAGCCTGTTTTGGGACATCGTCACCGCACTTCTGATCCGACACCGCTTCTTCCGGGCCGCACTTGCACAGCTTGACGCCCTTCGCGGACACGGGCCTCACCTTGTCTACCGAGTCCGCTGTCTAGGGAATAAACATATCGACGAGCACCACGACTTACAACAGTAACACGCCCATCGAGCCACAGCATGGCCGAACCACCTTCGTCCCCTCCCAGCGGGGACACCAGCACCGAAGATGCCCTCTCGTGGTACAAGTCGCAGTACGAGCAGCTGGAGCACGAGCTGATTGAGTTCCGCGAGTCCAGTCGCGAGCTCGAGGCCGAGCTGGAAAAGGACCTCGATGCCGCCGACAAGCGCGAGCGGACGCTGCGGGAAAAGGCCGAGGGCCTGCAGTACGAGGTTGACGAGTGGAAGGTGCGTACAGCCGCTGGCGTTTGTATCGGACGACACAACTGCGGCCTAGCCAATACTAACTGCCTTCGCTCAGAAAAAATACAAGGAGTCCAAGACCGAGGCCAACGCTGCCCAGAACACGCTCGAAAAAGAAATCACAACCCTGAGAGACACCAACCGCACCCTGCAGCTGCGCCTGCGCGACACGGAGGTGGCCAACGACGACTTTGAGCGCCAGGCCCGCAACACCACCTCCTCCCTCGAGGACCTCGAGTCCAAGTACAACGTCGCCATCGAGCGCGGCGTCCTGCTCGAAGAGGAGATCAAGATGGGCGAGCAGGAGCGCGAGGCCCTGCGCGTCGACGCCCAACGCCTGCGCGAGGAACTGTCCGACCTCAAGATCGAGGCCGAGATCCTCCAGGCCAAGCTGGCCAAACAGCAGGAGCAGCAGCGCGAGGACGAGCGTGTGGCCGAGGAGGAGGCCCTGGCCGAGGCGGCCGAGGTCCGCGCCCGCCACCACCACCTGTCCGCCATCTCCACCGACCTGTCCGTGCTGTCCGTGCCCGAGTCGCCCACCTTTGACCACTCGCCCAACTCCACTGCCAGCTCGCCCCTCATCACCACTCCGCCCGACGCCAAGTCCCTGTCTGCTGCCGGCTCGGTGGCAGACGCACAGGACTTGTCCATGTCCTCACCTCCTCTCTCCGACGCCACCGCCGCCGCCGCCGCTGCTCCTACGGTGTCCAAGCCGCTCCGCAAACAGCAGCCCGCCAAGGCGTCTGCGCCGATCCCACCACTCGGCCGCACACCCGGACCCATGCGCAAGTCCAGACTGCCCTCGTCCGAATTCAGCGCAGGCGCCACGTCGACCCCGCGGTCCAAAGCCCTGGGCTCTTCCATTTCCTCCGCTTCGGGTGCACGGCCACTCGGCAGTCGCGTGGCCACCGCGTCCGCAGCCACCCGGACACCTGCACCACGCACATCCACCGCCGGTACAACAAGCACCGCTGGTCCTAAGACGGGCGCCCGTGCCACATCGCACAAACTGCCCTCGTCCAACTCGCTCTCCCACATCCGCTCCCTCACGGCCCAGATGCAGCGCCTCGAGGCCCGTGTCCAGTCCGCTCGCTCCAAGCTGCCCGCGCCCGTCAGCACCCCGCCACGTGCCTCGCCGCGCTCGCTCGGCATGGGTGCGCCCCCCTCCGCCCTACCGTCGACCGTCACGATTCGCTCGCGGAAGCGCACAGTCGGCTCGGCCGCTTCGTCTGTCATTAGCGGCGACGATGCGACCCCGACACCCGCCCACCATGCCTCGCGCCCGGCCAGCAGCAAGCATGTGCCTCGTCTTTCCACCTCCGGCGTCAGCCGTCTGTCCTTTGGGCCCCTGCCCAACCGGGGCGGTGGCGGCTCCAACAACGGCCTCGAGTCCGAGTCGTCCCGGCCCAGCTCGCGCGCCAGCATCTCCTCTTATGCTCGCCCGGTCAGCCGCAACGCCGACGCCCGCGACATGCCCCCGCCGCGGCCCATGTCGCGCACGTCTCTGTCGGGTGCCCGTACGCCGCTGGGTCGCCCGCGCAGCTCGCTGGGCAGCAGCTTGCACGGCCACTCGATGAGCATGAGCGTCAGCGGCGGCGCCGTGCAGAGCCTGCCCGAAGACGATGTGGCCAGCGCCGACGGCGAGGCCTTCCGCACGCCCAGCCGGCGGGGCACCTACAGCAAGTACGAGATGGAAGCGGCCCTGAACACTGCGTCTGGCATCCCGGCACCTAGTGGGATCCCGATGCCCGGCAGCCGGCGGCAGAGCGGGGCCAACTCGGCGCTAGGCTTTTCATCGTCTGTATCGAGTCGGCGAGCGAGCATGACCACAAAGTAGTCAGGCGGCGAAGGTTGCATGGGGCTGTGTTGTTTTGCGTTTTCGGGTTCCAACTAGTACTACTTTTTTTATTATCCTCAGAGATACCACCTTTTTTGTTTCTGTTCTTGAATCTTTTGTTTTTTTTGTCGGCCGTTCTACTTCATACCAAACATTTTGCTATGGTGTTGTTGTTTTCTTGTATCCTTTTTTACTTCGATACATTACGCTTCACGTCTTCCGACTCCAAATACTCCATTGTCTCCCTCGAAGCAGGACTATCCGTAATGCTATATACCATTTTTTCAAACACTCTCTCGTTTTTTCTAATTTTTTTCGCCGGCCCAGCCTTTGGGCATCCTACACTTTGCTCGATGCATACCACCAGAAGCCCGCTCGCTTCCATGTCTTTTTTGTCTCTGTCCTCATCTTCTGCTTTAAGGAACAAATACGAAGTAAGACGATACCCATGTTCCGTATGACAATGATGAACATTGTCATGGGTACAGCAAGTGATGTTTTCATGGAAAGCCTCAGCACACGATGTGCATGTATCTCCTTATGGCTTTAGATTCTCATATAATACCGTGGCAGGACTTTACACGCGAAGGCCACTTGTGCACTGCAGTTTGTATTTTTGAAAATTGTTTGTACGAAGGGTTAAATTTAACAAATTGCGCGAACCTGTTAATTCCTAAAAAAAAAAAAAAAAAAAAAAAAAAAAAAAAAAAGAAGTAATACAGAAGTTTTATAAAAAAAATACATACATGTATAAACATGAATAAAAAGACAAATAAATTAAATAAAAAGAAATTTGACAGAACTAATAGTAAATTTGAAAGAATATATTGATATAAAATAATTTCTACCATGGCACCTTTGCAAATTCTACTGGCATGACGTCCACCAAATGACTACATACTCAATGCACAACTGGTATAAGTATTTTCATCACAGCAACAAAGGCCTCCGAATGGCGGCCATATCTGCCATGACCGGCCGAGTGGCCTTGGCGTACGAAGCAGATCGTAAAAGAAGGGCCGCTAGTCTCTAGCCGTGGAAGAACAAGGTGCTCTACCGCGTTCGGGCTGCTCCGTAATCACTCTTCGTCTCTGGCAGCATAGGGTTCTTTTGAATTTTGGCAGGTGCTATTTTTATCAAATATACGGAACCAAGCGGCGGCCCAGATAGAAGAAACCTAAAATAGATACCCGCTACGGCACCATACGGAGCGGCGGGTATATTCACAAGGCTTCCAGACTGTATGCTACATATTAAACTGCCTTTTTTTTTTTTTTTTTTTTTTTTTTTGGTATGCGACATTTCCGCATCTATCTTGAGCTTACTGGCCGTTCAAGAAGGACCCAGTGCCCTGTCTCCGTGACGATGGACAGGCATACTAAATAGGAAGAACGGAAGTTCCCCAAATGACCCAATACGAATTTGGATTCCGCTGTACGAGGCTCTGCACAAGACGTGTCCTCTAGATTCCGCCGTCTTACGGGACTGGCAGCTATGTGGAGGTTCAAGAAAAGCGAAAACAAGAGCACAAAAAGTGTCCACTCATGAACGCGGACTGGCCGAGATTCACGCATGGAATGCTGCCGAGTAAGATAGCTTACGCCATGCTGGCCAGACAATGAGACAGACATACAGTATAGCGATGAACACGGCGCACGAAAGCAGACGGACAAGCCGTTGGGGATATGCGAGCGATCGGAGGCGTTCGTTTTCGGTGCGCGGAGCGCAGATACTGTCATCGCCTCGCCTTCTGTTGCTTATCGTGGACCGTATCTCGTCGTGCAAGAAGCGCTGTGCATCAGTCCGTAGTCCGTACATCCCTGTCGTGCCCGCCGTGGCGGCTCTGTCTGATTCTGTCATTCTGCCTGTTTTGTCACCGCTTTTCTTTTTCTCGATTCTGATGCCGTTACCTGTGGATACGCTGATACGTCAACACCGCTCGGGTGAGCTCTGCTAGTGCAGTTTCTTGCCGCCTGGGCCAACGGCGATCGCTCTGTGTCCCCTAGCTTCAATGGGATCCGTGTGCAGGTAAATTTTTTTATGGCTCCCATCCCCAATTGTTGAGGAAAAAAATACGACACAAAAGCCAACCGATGGGTGCAAGGCCAACAACGACAAATAAACCAAAAACATGCCGCGACAAGGGCAAAAAAATAAATAAAGAAATCCAAAGACAAACATGCAGGAATGGAGACAGCTCAGATGGCATTCTCATATTGATCCCCCCTTCGCCGGCTAGTCTGGTCCCTCCCTACTTGAAGAGGCCAGAAAGCGTCTTTGATCTTACCGCGTTGCTATCTTACCGGTCGTCTTCCTTGCCGCGCTGGGTCTTGGTTTTCTTCTTCCCATCTGCCTGTCTCACGTCATTGCCTGTCGGTGGTAGGTGCGACACCCGCGGATTTTAACTGCCCCATCGAGACGGACAAAAGGAGTCGATGCTGATGATTACGCCGTAATACCTGTCCCGTAACGATGTACTCGGATGTTCCATACGACTTACGGCTGTTCGAAGTACGACGTCTCTTAGAATAGCGTTCATTTCTTCCACAACAAAAGCAAAAGAAAGGCTCCCCCTACCGACTTGCCAAGCTAAGACTCCATTAGGCTAGAGCCATGCGTCGCAAAAGGGCAGGGGACGCAAGGTACGACTTTGTTGGGAGCCATGCTTTGGGGCATTAAAAATCGGACCCGCCCTGGCTGCATTGTTGCCACTACCACACAGCACAAACTCGCATGGCCAAATACGCATAACATTCCAAGAGGAGATACAGCATCTTCTTCCAAGGGGCGCACCTTCCATTTGATGCGTCGTACATTGAAAAGACGCACAAATGGAGTAAGCTCGTCGTGGTCACGCTTTCCCATTGAAACTGATACGGCATGCGCCAGCAGACCAAATGCTGGGCATCCATATCCAATCCCTGGTCATGTATGTTGTAGAGGAGCGTGAGAGTTGCAACCAGTCTCAGATCCAGCATTGTTACAGCGCCGAGTCAGCACGAAAAGTAGTTGGGATCCCGACATACGACGTACACTCGGCTCAGGGGGAACGTAAAGTGCACGTTTTGAAAGATGGGTTTCTTCGGCGCCCGAATGGCATTTTGCCGTTTATGGAAAATTGCACTTTGCTCTTTCCTCGACAATATTCGGAACCCCACCCACCCCTGGCCGGAGTCAGAGAGGGAGATGAGAAGATTAAATCGTGATAATAAAAACAAAAAAATAACGGCACGCGGGATGTGAAATGATTTGGAAATGAACCAAAACACTGCAAGACCTGCGAGACCTCTGTATTGTGGCGCTCGCTGTAATAATACCTTTGTCTCACAGTGCGTTGTTTACCAAGATACTGCGACGTTCGATACTTTGCGGCTTCAGTTGACGGAAACGGCAAAAGTGTCCTGTTGCTCTTTCCAAATGCGCCTTCCCTTCCGAATGCGCGTTGAGGTTGTGTTCTTTTCGTACTTGGCCGGCAGTACGTCGGCAATTTTTGACCCTTTGCGTCGCTCTTTCTGCGTTGAAACGTTTGCGTCGTTCTTTCCATCTTTCGTTCCTTGCCTGGATGTGTATTCGATATCCTCTCCTCTGTTGTTCCCTTCCTGCCAGCCGATAGCAAGTGCTACCCACCGCCCACCTAGCTTCCCCAACGTTCCAGCTCCGTTCCTGCTTCGTTGGGCCGCCCGGCAGCTTTTCGGTTGGCTGAATCGACGGCTTTTACAATTGGAGAAGGGACAGATGGCCCAGACCCACAAATACTGGTACTTGACTGATACATGCCGTAAAACCAGACCTGTTCGAGGTGTTTGCACCAAATCCGCCTGGAGTTCCCTAAGCTGTATTCTGTCTTAGCAACCGTTTTTGGGGGCTCTCAGAAAGTACAATTTTCCCTCCATCTTTGCCCGCTAAAAGCGCAACTGTCGGTTCCACCAGGCTACGTTCCCCACCCCTGAACAAGCAGCCCCTAGTGAAATAATTGTAAAAGGGGCAGTTCCGCCAGCATCAAGTCCGCCAAGGTAGCTCCCAAGTACCTTTTTTCAGTATCCGCTTCGTTCTGCGCGGCTGTCATTTTTCCCAGCAACCCGCCAGGAAGCTCCAATTCCCTGCAACTCTAACCCAGCCTTTGCGTGCCTGCTCCTTTTGGCGTTTCTTTGGGTCGCTCTTGCTGTTCGTTCTCAAGCCATTGGGTTCCTTATTCGCGGCGATCATCCGTATTACCCTCTGCCCTTCAGCCTCTCTCTCCTTTCTTGACTTTTCTTTTCCCCGTGCAACCTCTCGCTCCCTTTCCTGACCCTGTCCCGGCCTTGCCACATCTTTCTATCCAACAAGAATAGAGGCCCGGTCTTCCTGAGAAGCTCTAACTCGCTCGTTTCTTACTCTCCTCGCCTGGCTTGTATTTCTTTTCCCAACTTCGTTTCTCTCTTTCCTTCCTTCACTCCATCTTCTCTCCATCGCCCGCCTTCACTTCTTCTAATAAACAGTTTGCCTTTGAGCATTGGCTCTTTTCACAATCCTACCTATTCTGCCACCGCCTGTTTTCATTGATACCCCGGCAGTTTGAAGCTCACTTTGGCCTGACTTGCCAACGTCGAGAAAACCGGCTTCGACGTCACGCGCGCCTTGACCACGCGCCGTCTCATAACCAACGACGGTCTATAGCTTCAGGTTTACCAACTGGACCCGAGCTTCTCGTTGCCTTGCACATGGGCATACATCCTTAGACTCCCGACCCTTTCCTCTCTTCCTTCCACCATGACAGAACTCAATGGCCACAGCGCCAAGCACGGTGTCACCGTTAAGGCGAATGGAGCTGCGGCACCGACTGCTAATGGCAAAGCCTCATATGCCTCCAAGCACAAGTTGGCCGACCACTTCATCGGCGGCAACAAGCTTGAGAATGCGCCAGAATCCAAGGTCAAGGAGTTTGTTGCGTCGCACGACGGCCACACCGTCATCACAAATGTGAGTATCCAACCCAATTTCACCCCGGCAGGTTGCCCGAT